AAAAATTTCAAGTCATAAAATTATCTAGAAAATGCTAAGTTTGTGGATTGATGATATTTGCTGACCAGTTGCAAATTGACGGTTATAGGAATATCCTATATGAAATTCTATATTTACTGTATGTCTTTTCAACGAGGATAAACACAGACAGACCACTTTAAATTTATTGCAGTTTTTTTAGAACATGACTGACGAAGTGGCGATTGTGACGAAAGCCAAAGAAAACATCATTTTTGCGATGAGTGCTCTCAGCGAGCAACAAAGGTAATTTTTGCCGAAAATAAATCATTAGACTATGCTCAAAGTATGTTGAAGGAGGGAGCTATCGCAAGCGAAGCATAACCTTATACACAAATGCTCATTCAATGGAAAACCGTGTAACATCGACAAGTGAGTAAACAGAACTATGGAAGCATTCGCCTTTTTCTACTTCCAGAGACTTCGCGATAATTTCTGACCCCACATTTGGAAATTGTTTCACCTTCAACCACAATCGATCCGATTTGAAGAGCAGTTTAAGGGCCGGGCCCATGTACGGTAGGGAGCAAATTTACAGTCTTCTGTCCTGGGTCTCTTATATGAAAACTAATAGGAAGCCAACAGCCTTCAACTAAGCCACTACCTAAGCACTAGCTCATACGCTTCATTCGTAGACGAGAAATTCAACTCCAAACTTCAGCCCAGACCGCACTTCCTACCGTACCTGAAGACGCTGATTGGTCCGCTCGGAAAAAGCACGGTTTGGGCGGGAGTTCAGAGTCAATTTTTCCGGCCGCGAATAAAACTTATGAGCTGCAGCTTGGGTAGCTTAGCTAGAATTCCAGTCTTTCCAAGTATCCGGGTATGAGTCAAAATTCTCAGCTCACATAAAACTATTTTCAATTTTTGAATGAAATAATTCATCCTATGCCAGGCCTTCGCGTCATGCTATTTGTAAATGCTTCCGATTATTTACCCACATCGGAGGCTGTCGGTGTTCGACTGACCATACACGATAAGGACGAATTTCCTTTCCCGGTAAACTATTCAAATTAATTGTACTAAGTCTAGCGGGTCTTCACAATCACTTACAGGATACATTCGGATACAGTGCACCTACCGGATACATTTCTTCGTTTGGTATGAGAATGGTACGCAAACTCACACAGCTTCTAAATAGTCCCACCTTTAAAATCAATTTTGTAAAAGTTCAGAAAAAGATGTCCCGCCTTCCGGCTCCGTACGGCGATTGCATTCCGGAAGGTGCCACTGCTGATTATGTCTACAAAGGATACAAATACTCTACTGAGGTAGAATTATACGCGTCATCGCACGCAGAGATTAGACGCCGTTGCGTACTAGAGAGACGCAGACGACGTCCGCAGCGGTTCCTGTCTCTGCTTGCAGTGACTTGCCTATACCACTGCTACTGATTGTGAGATAAATATACTCTGCAACTTTTGAAGGGATGCTATCGGACCTGCTTTCAACAGCTAATTATTGATCGATGTGGTTGTGGCGATCCAAGATTTCCATCTATTGATGATCATCCACATTGTCAAGTTTTCAACAAAGAACATAGTGAGCTAA